CAGTGGGGCGGGATGTGCAAGGTCCTCTTGCGCTGGCATCTTTTCCTCCGGGGCAGTCCTCCAGCCCACTCCACGACCCTGCTTAATCCTCTGCCTTCCCCTCCTCGTTGCAAACTTTGCCAAGCGGCGGTGCCACGCCGCAAAGTGTCCTGGTCCTGGGGGCTGCAGAAGCTGGAGGGAAGCTGTGGAAGAGGGGAAGGATGGAGGAGGACGGAGATGGCAGCTTGCAGGAGACTCGCGGAGCTGGGGGAGGCCTGCCATTGCCCTGGTCAATGCAAAACCTTTGAACGGCATGAAAAGCCGGGATGAAAGCCAAGCACCTCGCCACAGCCTGGGGCAGCCACCCTGCTCTGGAGGTTTGGCATGGAGCCCTGCACACCCAGGAGCCCTGGGCTGGGGAGCAGCCTAGCCCAGAGGAAGGCAGAGTGAGCCTGGGCAGGGTCCTTTGCACACTGGCTTTCAGAGCTGGCTAGCTGGGCGGCACAAACAGACTGGTCTGCACCACGTCTGGAGTCCTGGGGCGAGATGGGAGCCACCGGTTCCTCATCTGGGACATGCTCAGGTGAAGCAAGAAGAAATGACCTTGAAGAGCAGGTCTTGTAACCACCACTCTGGTTTTCTCTGGAGCACGTTGTACAGTGTTGTTCTTCCATTGAGAGCATGTATGTGTGCTGCAGAAGCCCGTTCAAGGCAGTAACATACCGACAGCATTCTCCATGCTAAACTGTTACTGGGTCTTGGTCACAGACCAGCGGTATAACAAATGGGAACCCTACCGTGCCATAACTTACAAGGAGGCAGCTTTGCCAAGGGAAGGTGACAGCAGAGGTCAAGGGGTCTTTGACCCAACACTTAGAGGAGTTCCTGAGGTCCATGGAGAGGAGTGGATCTTCCTTGGAAAGATCTAGGTGCAGGGACAAGGTGAGAGGCAACTGGGCCCCCTCAACACCTTCTCAGAGGGGGCACTGGACTGGAGAGGGAAAGGGAGCTTCTTCAAACCCCATCGTGCTCAGCCAGTCCTACCCTCCTGGGCAGGCCTGTCCTCTGGCTTCCTCTGTCAGGCAGCTCCACCACCACCCCTCTAGTGCCAGATGCCTTTTATTTCTCCTCCTTTCCTCTCCCCAGCTTTCATGGGTCAATCAGTGTTTCTTTCTGCCCCCGACATTTCTCTGTTCACCAGCATATTTGTGTTAAAATTTGTGAGCGTTTTTCTTGGGGCATTTCAAGGTTTATTTCTGATGAGATTTGAGATGGAATCTGACCTGTGATCCTCTGGTGTGCTGGTGATTAGGTAAGGCTGGTGTGGGTGTGGAGGTCGTGGTGGGGTGGGGGAGACCAGCCAGGAACCTCAGTTAGGAGAGCACCCTGTACATGAGGTCAGTGTTTCAGGGGAGGAGGCAGAAAGCAGCCTCTGAAATCAGTCTTCTCTATGACGTGCAGAGGAATAGAGTGGAGAGACATCACAGAAAAAATACACAACTAGAGAAACAACGGGATGGGGCAGATACCTATGAGTAGCCTGGTGGGTTTTCAGGTGAGAGATTGTGACTGCAGACCATGCATCCTCCCGTAAAGGTACCTGTCTGTGAAGAGTGGACTCAATAGCCTTGGTGAACCTTCTCTGGTGGTTCATCAAGGCTTCTGAGACACAGTAGGCTTCATGGCTTACTTATAGAATCATAGAATCATTGAGGTTGGAAAAGCCCTCTAAGATCATCGAGTCCAACCGTCAACCCAACACCACCATGCCCACTAAACCATGTCCCTAAGCGCCTCATCTACACATCTTTTAAATATTTCCAGGGATGGTGACTCCACCACTTCCCTGGGCAGCCTGTTCCAATGTTTAACCACTCTTTCAGTAAAGAAATTTTCCCTCCCGTCCAATCTAAACCTCCCCTGGCGCAACTTGAGGCCATTTCCTCTCGTCCTATCGCTAGTTACTTGAGAGAAGAGACCAACACCCACCTCGCTACAGCCTCCTTTCAGGTAGTTGTAGAGCACGATAAGGTCTCCCCTCAGCCTCCTTTTCTGCAGGCTAAACAACCCCAGTTCCCTCAGCCGCTCCTCATAAGACTTGTTCTCCAGACCCCTCACCAGCCTCGTTGCCCTCCTCTGGACACGCTCTAACACCTCGATGTCCTTCTTGTAGTGAGGGGCCCAAAACTGAACACAGGATTCGAGGTGCGGCCTCACCAGTGCCGAGTAGAGGGGCACGATCACTTCCCTACTCCTGCTGGCCACACTATTTCTGATACAGGCCAGGATGCCATTGGCCTTCTTGGCCGCCTGGGCACACTGCCGGCTCATGTTCAGCCGGCTGTCGACCAACACCCCCAGGTCCTTCTCTGCTGGGCAGCTTTCCAGCCACTCTTCCCCCAGCCTGTAGCGCTGCATGGGGTTGTTGTGGATGAAGTGCAGGACCCGGCACTTGGCCTTGTTGAATCTCATACAATTGGCCTTGGCCCATTGATCCAGCCTGTCCAGGTCCCTCTGCAGAGCCTTCCTACCCTCGAGCAGATCAACACTCCCGCCCAACTTGGTGTGGTCTGCAAACTTACTGAGGGTGCACTCAATCCCCTCATCCAGATCATCGATAAAGATATTAAACAAGACCGGCCCCAGTATTGAGCCCTGGGGAACACCACTCGTGACCGGCCGCCAATTGGATTTAACTCCATTCACCACAATGGTGAATGGAGGCTCAATACTTATTGAGCCTCTCAGAAGTCACTGAATAGGGACATGAATTGTGTCCCTGCACACTTTGGGAGGCCACATGGAAATGTTGCCAGAATGGACCAGTCATGACAAGGAGTTTGGACTCAGCACCTATAGACTTGCACAGCTGAAATGGTCACCCACAGGTTGGTAAGAGCTGGGGTAACACCAGCCCTCCTCTCCACCAGGATTGGCTCAGGAGTGACACTCTCCCCTGCTCGTTGTCCTCTGCATGTAAATAGACTCCGAACACAGGCAGCCTTGATGGTGTTTGAGAAGGGAGTATGCCAGTAGTGGTGGTGGGAATGGACCTTAATGCAGACTGGTGGTATGTAGGCTTTACAGGTTTAGTGGCAGTTATTGCAAGGAGTTCTCAGCACGACTGAATGTGCTCTCAAACATGCATCCTGCTGGAAAACACTCTGCCAGTGCTGCTGGACCCCTGCCCCTGGCCGGCACTGTGTGACTCGAGTGCCTGTGTCGCGGCACTGTGCACGGAGGTTTGATTTATAGCCCTGCTTCCTAGAGTCTCGCCTTGGCACAGCAGGAAATATCAGTTCCCAGGGAGAGAGCGTGTGCTAGTGGAGTGAGTGTGTGATGAAGCCGTCCTGGTTGCAAGGTCTGAGGAGCAGCATTAGTCATGACAGCAAGGTCAGTCACGCCAGAGTTCTTCTTTGAAGCACATTAATTGCAGTCGCATGGAGATGGCTGTGGTGTGGGTAAGGTACGCAGAATCACCCAGTCCCACCATCTCTGGCTGGAGGCACCAGGGTAGGGGTTTCCAGCCTAACACTGCTCCCAGCAGGTCCAACACCGCAGCTGCAGCAAGTTGTTTGGGGCCGTGTCCAGGTGAGTCAGGGCAGTCCCCGGGAACGGAGACCCCCTTTAGTGGACCATGTTAGTGACCCTGCACAGGACTTCATCCAGTTTGTTGTTGTCTCCCTTGTAGCGGGGGGCATGATAAACTGCACAGTGTGTCCAGATGTGGCCTCACTCTAGGGGAATAATACCTTCCCTTGACCTGCTGGATGCTCTCACACTGGGCTGGTTGGCCTTCAGTGGTGTGACTCCTGGCCAGCTTGGTGTGCACGAGTCTGCAGATGCCTCTTGCCTGTGGAGCCTTGCGTGGAGAGCTGCCCCCTACAGCCCATCCCAGCCTGCCCCACATGCAGGGCTGGTCTGTCTTGGGGCAGAACTTCTGCTGAAGTCCTTCTGAAGAATACCGCTCAACACCTGGCCTGCTGCCTGTGGAAAGTGCCACAGTGGATGTAGCCATCACGTACTCCTTTCTTCATACAACATGTTCATCATGTCAGCTGAATTTTGCATAAAATGAAGCACTTCAATTGTTGTTCTTTTGCCTCTCAATATCAAACCTCCAAACAAGCCCAACAGAGCGTGCAATTTCACATACAAGCTGGAGACCGCTGTGATTTTGTCTTTGCATGTCCTGCTCCAGCTCGCAAAAGTGTTAGCCGTCCATTTGGTAGTAGGAAGAGAGACGTGGTACCTAACTCCATGATTAGTCAAACTGTTGTATTTCTCTTTGGCACGAAATAAAATAGTATTTGAATGCACAGTGGGGCTAATGCTACTTTGTGCAGCTTTTTATGAAGATTATAAAATTGTAAAAGATTATAAAAAGTAATTAGAAGATGGAAGAGTTAATCATAGGGAGGAATGGATTCATATTTGCTCTGAAATTTTCTAAACTGCTTTAAAGTACCTTCAACTGGTGGAGCTGAACTTCACTACAAACCCTTTGTGTGCCGAAGTGCAGAGTTTTCTTCATCCATTTGAATTGCAACACAGAAGTTGCAGGGCTGTTTTCCCCAAAGATTCAAGAGTCCCTGTGGTCATTTTGTTGATATGTGAGGTCATTCGGGTTTTTGCAGAGTCATACAATCATTTATTTGATGTGCTAGAGGCAACCCAAACCTCTTATTCCCATTTATTCACCCTTTGAGAAAAGATTTGGAAAAAAGTCACCGGTCATCAAAGTTTTAAGTCAAAGGCAACTAGTGGAGAACTGGGAGATAAACCACCAACAGATGGGGGAGGGTTGCGTGTGAAAGACATACTCTACATAATGCACCATTAAAACTTGATGAAGAGGTGTCCCAGAAAAAATATTACAAAGCACTAGGTTTAATATTAAATTCTTAGTTTTAGCAGTCTGGTCATTTTCAGGAAGAAATAATCAGCTTAACCACAGCATTCACACATTTAATGTTCTGAGAGAAGGATTGTCTGATTTTTCTTTTTTTTTTTTTCCACAGTAATTAATGAAAGTCAAAAGCAGCAACTGCAATCTGCGAGCTACTCCTCCCGCTACGCTCTGGGACTTTTTTATGAGGCCGGTACACAGATTGATGTCCCCTGGGCTGCACAGTACATCACCGATAATCCCTGCATACGCTTCATCTCCATCGATAATAAGAAACGCAATATAGGTCAGTGCTCCCATTATTTCCCTTAAACACAGTGACAATAGAGGGTGTAGATCATGAAAAATGCTGTTTAATTGAGTGTTGCTATTCTGAACAGAGCAAGTATTTAACTCCAAGCTGCAGCGGATAGCATTTAATGTCACATTTGGCCTGTAATAAAATACACAATGAAAGCGGGAAGGTCCTCAGAAAATCACCACCCAGCACATGGTTTACGTTACTGCATTTATGAAACCAGTGTCAGGGGATTTGAGACATCAAAATGTTGCTATTCCAAGAAAGAGCTGGAGTTCCTTTGTTTAAACATTGATTCATACACATGCCAATTTATCTTCCATCATCCATTGCTTTACAACTCCTGTTCTTTCCACTAAGCATGCTTGGAAGTAGTAATGAGTTATATAATTGAGGCTGTTCAGTCTAACTCAGAGTTAGCCAGTGTGCTTTTATAATCACGGAAAATCCTTGAAATGGCTGCACATAATACAGCTGCTTGGTAAAGCTTGGAGAACATCCCACAGGGCAGACACTTCTCTTCTGTTTCTGGAAGATGGCAGTCAAGTAAGTATATGTTTAATTTATTAAATGTATTTCATATACCAAAAGTGTGTTGGCATAGAATAGTTCAAGAAAAACCGCTAGCATTTGAGTTTAATCAAATTCATTAGGAGCTGAAAACGCTTCCTGATTCTGTTACTTGCTCACATTGCGATGATGACCAGGTTTAATCACATCCATGAAGTGGGGGTAAAAACCTACCCACCTTTGTGGTGACCTGCAAAGCACTGACTCACTGTCACACAGAATAAGGAAGGATTTTCATAATCAGCTGCTGCCTAATATGTAATTATTAGGTATTACCAAATGCACTGCGCTAAAGCACGTTCAGATTTAGACCTGGGAGACGTGTTTCTAGTCTTCCTTGTTCAGCTGGGATTCATTGTTTCCTGCCTGCAGTCTGCAGACATCAGTGATGTTAGTACCTGCTGGGCAGGGCATTGAAAACCTTGCCCATCACCCTTATACCTACATGCCATCACCACACTAGAAAACAGCCATAAGGTTGGGCATGCCTTCCCTCTCTTACACAATAAACATGCAATTTAATGTAATAAGCTATCATAAGGGAGTGTCACAGTATAACAGCGGCGCTGGTGGCCAGGTCCTCTGAAGATCTCTGCTCCAGCTCCCACTCACAGCAGGCTGTGCTAACACAAGGTCAGGGCAGCTGTGCCTTGTGTAGCTGAGGTTTTAAAAAAAAACCAGAATGGAGATTCCCCACATCGCTGGTGACCTGTCCCAGGGCTGCACCTCCACTGGGGGAAGAAGTGTTTCTTCATCTGCAGTCTGAACTTCCCACAGCTCAGCCTGTGGATGTTGCCTCCTGTTCCATTGTCTGCCTCTACCAATTAGAGTCATGGTCATTCACGTTGCAAGGCACCACTGGAGGTCCTCTGGTCCTACCCCTACGCAAGGTTGGAAGTTAGATCCAGCTGCAATCATGTTGCTCAAGGCCCTGATGTGCTGCGATTTGCCACCTTTGCACTGCTGGCTTATATTCCATGGTGGATCCACCATAACCAGCAGGATCTTTTCAGAAAGGTCTGTTGCTCAGCCAAACTGATGCATGGGGTTGTCCTGTGTCAGACACAGGACCTTGCACTCCTCCTTGTTCTGATGATAGTACAGTTCAAGTCAGCTCTTCCAAATACGCCCTTCTTTGTACCAAATCCAGCTGGGTAGCAATGGCTCTTGAAGTGCCTCCAGAAACAGCAGTTTATGCTGGGAGGAAAGGAGTTGGAGAGATGAATCAACTCACCACTGTGGAAGCCCAATTTTGTTACTTCTCCTAAGAATTTAGCCTGTTGGTCTGAAAAGAGGGAAAGTTAAACAAAAGAATGGCTGAACTGGCCAAAACAAAGATGCATCCACCCTGATACGCTTCCTCCAGCAGGGACCAATTGTGAATATGTAAAAAAAGAGTGTAAGGAAAGCCAAATGTAGAGTGATTTTTTTTCCTCTGGCATTGTCTCCTTGTTACTGACAACGTGCAGCTGGAGATTTTCCTGCATCTAAGATTATATCGCCATCGTTGTGTTTAACGATAAGTACTTGATAGTTAATAGCCCCTACTGGTATTGTCCGTCCCTGCTGCCCGATTCTAGCTGTGCAGAAGAGGACACAGCCCGAGGGAGAAATTCACCTATCCTTTCCTCACCTGCTTGCATATGTGGTCTTAAAGTGCCAGCACTGAGAACAACGAATATGAAATTATAAGGGAATTATCAAATAGCTAAGTACAGTGTCTTTGCTGTCTCCAAATGCAATTTAACCAAATAGAAAGCATATTATTTGGGGCATATTGTTAACAAATACATAGAAACTACTAGAACATTGGTGTTGACACATACCTTTCTAACTGAAATTTCCCTCATATTGTGGGAGAGACCTGTTTATATGAGCAAATTTTTCCAGGAAGAACAAATTCTATACCTTCATAGGGCTGGAACAAGCTGGGGGCCAGCAAGATGATTCTCTCTGGTAGGGCCCTCCTTGTGACATATAAACAGTCAACCAGCCGCCTTGACTGCGCTGTCTTTCCTGGTGAATTTGCATTTTGCAGATTTGCACTTTGTTCCAGGAAAAGTAGTACTAGGGAAAGAGTCGTACATGTTAGCTGGAGCAGTATTTCTGGCTGCGAGCACTCGAGCTGAGCACAGCAGGGTTGGAAAGCATGCCTGTATCATGTTCAGTAATGCTGATGTACAGAAGTATAAAAATCAAAAGTGGTCACCAAGTGATTCACTTTTCTTTAAATACATGCACAGCTCTGCTGATAAGAGACACACACGCACATATATACTTTAAGACAACATGGGCAAGGGGGGCTGAATGTGAAATTTATTTACACATATGGAGTACTGCAGCCAAAACTCTTGAATAAAAAGTTCCTTTATGTTTGTTTTAGCACATATGCAAGTATTTTGCATTTGTATTTTTCTTTCTGTGCTTCTGACTGACCTCCAGAACATTTCAATGGGAGGCACAGCAGCACCTTGCTGTCCCTTGTTTGCTGTTTTTTTGGGGTGCCATTGCTGATGTTTTAACACTGTGCTCCACTCACTCATTGTTCTTCCCATTCTTCCATTCTTCAACCTTGATTGATCGTGATTCATCTGAAAAAGATGATGGTGACAATGAAAAAGTAAGCCTTCAGAGAGAGAAAGCAGAAATGCTCAGGGTAAGATTTACGTTGGGTCTCCTGGGTGAAGCAGCTGAGATCTTTCAGGACAGTCATCCTTCCCAAAAAGCCATCACCTTCTCTAGTTGATGCCTGAATGGTCCCACTTCCACCGTTGCTCCTCTATGCCATATACACTGTCCCCATATATTCAGTTGTCTGTTATTTCTCAAGCACCTGCATGCATCCCTCCCTTCATTGCATTAATCTTAAGAGGGAAAATTGCTTTGTTGCCTATCAGATGTGGCTGCAATGCTTATCAGGAGTACATCCTCAACAGATAGAGCATGGCTACAGTTCTCTAGGCATAAGTAAAAGTGACTAATGGGCCAGACACAAAGAGAAATTTGATTTTTCTGGTGTTTCTACACCTTCTTTGATGTATCCAGAACTAATGGAGGTTTATCTAACCCTCGTTACCACCTCAAATAGTAGTGTTTTAGTAAACAGCATTGATCTATAGAGATCCAAAGGAAATAACTCTTAGCTTTCTGTTAAGGGACTCTTTGTTAAACATGTCATACAAAAAATAGCTACAGCTATATAATGTCTACCTAAAAGCAAGTAGTTTAGCCCTCAAAGGCCAAAGGTGAAGTCTAACCCTCACTATGAAAGTCCAAACTGTCCTCTTCATTTGTATGAGATGTGGTAATCCCTGCTTTGACTCATTTAGTAAAGCAGAGATGTAAAACTCTCTTTCTTACGCAAGTTTCACATTTTACCAGTGAAATACCTGAAACAGCTTTGTTGTTATAATTATACAATAGGATGGGTTTGTTAGCAGAGCCAGTGAGTTGTAGTCTGTAATTCTCCAGAAATCTCAGCCTTTGCTTGCTCTCAGAGCTGCACGCTTCCCTAAGGACCGCTCGCGCCTCGCTGTGTTCTGATGAGCTGCAGCACTCTGAATCGCTGCTTGTTGCACAGCACTTGCAAACTCATAAAGTCTATTCTTGCTAGGAGATACAGCAGCATACCCTCTCTTTCTGTTTTCTAATTAATTCCTTTATGCAGACTGCTCAAGGGTTGCTGGTTCGTCAGACATTTATAGTGTAATAATATTCTTTAAATCATAAGTTTGCATTCAACATAACTCTTATCAGCATGTCCCCTGAACTTCTGTAATGGAGAACAAGCCAGGTGGCCATGCCATCTTTCTGGCAGTCCAGGTGGGTGAGACAGAACAGGATGACTTCTCAGAGTTTTGTCTTTGTTTACACTGCTAGAGAGGAATACAGTCTTCTGTGATGGACTAACCCTTGCTGCGATGGGGAAGAGGTAGTGAGCCTGACCCATGCACGGCTGATCCTGCTGGGGAAGGCACCGGCACCCAGGGAGTCCCTGGCAGCTCTTCTCTGCGGCACAACGTGCTACCATTAGTTGGCTTCATCGTGACACAGCCTAGTTCCTTACCCATAACTATGGATGACATCTATTTTCTTCCCAATTTATGCAGAAGAATCAATAATAAAGCTGTTTCTCTGATACTGCCATTACCAATGTAATCCGGAGCATGATGAGCCTCTGAGAAGGAAGGCTTTTTGTATCAGCTGAGGATCTCAGCTGCTGTTCATAAAATCGCGTCTCCACCCGCAGAGGTAATGCGCTCGAACGTTACATAAGGAAGAGCCTACAAGAAGTGTATGTTGAAGTCCCTGTGCGGTATGTATGAATATTAAATATTTGTGTGATTGGCTGCCTTAAACACCCCGTCAATATTTATAACTGGTCGGGGGGACAGTGGGAATTCTTCAGTATAAATTAT